TTTTCACTTGCCCTCTTCCATGGGGCGGGGTGGGGGGACCTTAAAACAAGCTGTGCTAAATACATTATTTACCTTAATTTTCTCATATTAGGTTTCTCGATATATGTTTAAGATAAACAGGATTGCACAGACACAGAAAGGGGTTTCAAGGAGTCAAGTCATTTCCCTAAGATGACACAGCATAAGTATTTTCGACTGAAGAGTGTAAGTTCATGCTGCCTGGTCCTGCACAGGGCAGCTGGGCGCTGCTGTTGCTGAAGCCTGTGAACCCAGGAGCTCAGGAGGCTGAGCCGGGTCCTGCTTCAGTGCAGAACAGTAAGATCACAGGGCAACTGGGCACTGCTGCTGCTGAAGCCTGTGAACCCAGGCGCTCAGGAGGCTGAGGCTGGAGGATTGCTCAAGGTCAGAAGTTTGTTTGCGACCAGCCTGTGTAATACAGCAAGACCCTGTATTTAAAAATGTTTAATTAACCAGGTGAAGCGGCTTTCACCAATAATCCTAGCTATTCAAGATGAGGTGGGAAGGTCGCTTCAGCCCCAAAGTTAGATGCTGCTGTAAGCTTTGATGTCACCACTCCAGCCTGGGTGACAGAATGAGGACTTGTCCAAAAACAAGGAGCTCAACTGATCCTAGTCAACTGAGTTACTGGCACCTACTGCCCCTACTCATCAAAGACAACTTCTGAATTCATTCAGGGCTTTTTCTTCAAGGCAACAAAACCTTAAGTATCAGAGCAGGCTGGGCTACTGTCTGGGTTTGAACCGTACTTGTCAGACTTTGGAAAAGACACCTCAGTCTCATCGTGGCTAAAGGGGAAGAAGGTTTCCTGAGGACCACACATCCTCTTTCGTGTAAAACGCCTGGCCCCGGCGCCTGGTGCCCGGCAAGCCTTCCACCAGTGTCAGGTGGTATGGTGATCTGAAACACAGATTACTTCTTAAGACTATTTTCCAGGGACGTATTTTGATTTCCTTTCCTGTGACTATTCACTAGCCTTTTGAGCTCGCTTTCCCTCATGATATATTACGTTGGAAGGGATGGTACTTAATTCAGTAAAGTAGTGGGTATGACAATCGTATTTTGTATAGCATTCAATAGAATTATCTGCAAAATGGGGTCACCAACCAGCTGGCACTTCCAAGAAAAGTCATTAAGGCTTGCTCTAAAAACAATCCATTTACTTTTTTGCTGAGGCTACAAAAGGAGATTGATAGTTCTACAGACTGTTCTGCAAGGTTCTTGGCTTTCTAAAATTCGTCACTAAATGTGTAATAGAATATTCAGTTAGCCAATTAGGTATTTTTTATTTATTTATTTATTTATTTTTTGAGACAGAGTCTCACCATGTCACCCTTGTTAGAGTTCTGTGGTGTCACAGCTCACAGCAACCTCCAACTCTTGAGCTTAAGCAATTCTCTTGCCTCAGCCGCCCAAGTAGATGGGACTACAGGTGCCCGCCACAATGCCCGGCTGTTTTTCGGTTGCATATGTCATTGTTGTTTAGCTGGCCCGAGGTGTATGTGGCTGGTGCCGTAACCACTATGCTTTGGGTGCCGAGCGAAATTTTTAGTCACAGATGCCTCATTTGCAATAAATAAAATGAAATATGCTTATGTTGGTAGAAATATACTAGAATAAAATACGGGAACGGAAAGAAAATAAACAACGTTAATCGTTATTAGGTCATTATAAGCAACTTGTCTTAATAAATTTAAAGATAGTAAAGGTATAACAGAAGTTTCCAAATTCCAAAAAAAAAAGAAAAAAAAGAAGTGACAAAATCATCTTATAGGGTGCCCGTACTTCAGTGGTTAGGGCGCTGGCCACATGCTCTGGGGATGGTGGGTTGGAACATGGGCCCAGGCCCACTAAACAAAAACAACAACAGAATAGCCAGGGGTTGTGGCGGGCACCTGTGGTCCCATCTACTCAGGAGGCTGAGGCAAGACAACCACTTGAGCCCGAGAGTTTGAGGTTGCTGTGAGCTGTGATGGCACAGCACTCTACCAAGGGTGACAAAGTGAGTCTCTGTCTCAATTTAAAAAAAAAAAAAAAATCGTCTTCCAAAGAGAAGGATTAGTAACTTTGATATTTCATTAGTATTTACAAAATGGTAGAAAAAAACAAATAGAAAGGGGGCAAAGCTGACCAAGTGTTTGTAGATGAAAAATAAATCCCAGTCAAGAATAATTTCTCCTTGTTGTTACAGTGATTTAAAAAATGTATTTCTGATTAGTATTTAAAACCACGAGAAAAACGCTTATGGTACGTTAAGTAGATAGAGGGCTGATGGGTAGGTAGAAAGACAGAATGAAAACCACTTATTAGAAGAAAATATAGTAAATGATTGGCATTACTATTTCAAATGAGTAGGAGGGTTATTTTTGTTTTCTTCTTCTTCTTTTTTTTTTTTTGTCCTACTCTAATATGAAATAGGAAGAGAAAAAGAGACCTTTGGAGGCTGGAAATATCAGGCTTTGGAGCAACATACAGAGGAGATGGACGGGGCAGGGTAACACAGCGGAGCCCTCTAGAAGTTTCCTCTGCAGGAGATGCTCTCTGAATGTGCTCTGGCAGCAGGGCCACCTCCCCTGGGAGGACACACACATCCACGGGCACCTAGAGAACTGGAAAGTCACTGGGCTGCCCTCCTTTATAGTGACCCCCAAAGCACACAAAACTATTTTTATATGTATTTGCTGAATCCGTACTACTACAGAAAGGCTTTCCAAAATTTACTTTAGAAACCACCAGTGTCAATAGTTCCAAGAACGCAGCCCAGGCAGGCATGATTACATTACAGAAGCACATTTCACTTTACAGATACCAGGATTTATTTATGTATGTCTCCTTTCTGGCTGAAATAAAGTGAAAAGAAATCCGTTCAAGGCTGATCATTCTTGACCCATGTGAACTTTTCCCAAAAAGTCACATATATATTTTGAAAAAAAATTTTTATTTTGAGTCAGAGTTGAGCTCACCCTGTATGTGACATCATAGCTCATAGTAACCTCAAACTCTTGGGCTCAAGAGATCCTCTTGCCTCAGCCTCCCGAGTAGCTGGGACTACAGGCATGTGACTACACATGGCTAGTGTTTCTTCTATTTTTAGAAGCAACAGGGTCTCAGTCTTGTTCAGGCTGGTCTGGAACTCCTGAGATCAAGCAATCCACCTGCCTTGGCCTCCCAGAGCGCTAGGATTATAGGTGTGAGCCACTGCGCCAGGCCTTTATTTAGTCTAGCTTACTGTCAGTGCTGATTCTTCAAGTTTCACCATCAGCCTCTACCAAATGGAGATACTTCTACATCATAGCTTTTCCCTGGCGAAGTCCTGCATGAGGCTGCCTTAAAATGCCTTGTGGGACTTACTCAGCCTTCACTGTGGTCACCGACCCTGGACTAGAATCATGCCACTGTATTTTCAAATTATAGAGCATACTTGCATGAGATTAAAAACTGTATTCGCACATCAATTCAATAATATTTACTGGGAACCAAACACACTGGTGTACAAAAATGGCACACTGAAATAGTTTACCATAATGGTACACAAAGCCTTCTTTATCCTAAACCATTACCATATATCAGGAACTAATTCTACTGAGAGAGCCCAGACTGAGATTTCAAAATTATTTCTCTCTCAGTAATACTATAATGAATAGACATGTAAGCCGAGAGATTCATTTCAGTTCCTCAAAGCTTCCAAAAACCAAAGGAAGCATCTCTTCCACTCATTCTAGAACTGCTCAGATGCGCTTAAGGCCAGTCCCCACTGTGACTCTAACGATGGCAGAAAGGGTTCCAGGAGTTTCAGTAACTTTATTCAACGAGTCGCGCAGGAGAGAAATTATTCTCAGACAAATATCGAAAACAACAGGCAGAAAAACAAACCCTGGTATTTGGTTTTGAATACTAAACACTTAAAGAAAAACCCACCAAAGCTCATTATGATTCCTCATTGCTAGTTATGTAAAATCCATATAATTATACTAATCGCCTTCTAAGTAGAATTAAATAACAACCGTACCAGCCCAGCAGGGATTGCCACGTTGGAGTTTATCACAAGCATCCTCAGCACACAGAGGAAGCCAATTTAGCTCTTCCTTGTGTTTCATTTCCTGTCTCATCTTACTAGATTGTTCCATCAACTCAGTTCAATGATGCTTTATGTAGTTAAAATACAGCCAAAATACCATATTTCATGAAATAAAAGATATTTTTACACCATACAGTTACAGTTCTGGTACCACCAATCTGAACGGAAAGGCTTTAGACCAAACTGAATCTATTTAAACAGATTTAAAAAAACCACTTAAGTTGCCAAAAGTACAGACTTTCTTTTCAAGGGTTTTCTACCATGCTGATTGCAAAGGGAAATTGTTCTTTCAACACATTATCCGAATCAGAATGGGAGAACTAGGATCCTCTATTTATTGAAGAGCTTATCAAGCTGAGAAATGCTTTAAATAAAGAGCTAAAAAAGAAAGACTGTAGTTACAAGTTTCATTTTCAAGGTCTGACAAACTCCCCTACTGAACATCAGAAATGAATGATCCAACAGTCTCAATTTCTAAGCATCAGAAACTCTTTTTCCTAGTCCTTGCTAACTTCTTAGGTTCCCCAGACACAGAATAAAGCACCAATCAATCGAACAGCTGTGGAGGGCGTAAGCACACAGCACGTTTCACATTAAACAGATGAAAACTCATCTGAGATCTTGCTCAGGGCCTTGCTTTCAAACATTCTCATAATTAGTCACTTGCCATCAAATTTGAATTAAGGGCATCTATATATAGTTTCCTTACTCCATCACAGCAGACTTCTGTAAGAACGGAGGAGTTTTGGAACAGAGGCCCCCAACAGCTGGATATCTTGCTTCAGGCACTTGCTAAAGGCATCAGAACAAACTGAGAATAACCTCCCAGGCCTCAGAAGCTCTGCAGTTATTTTCTGACATTCAAAGCCACCAGATTATCCTAAAACTAACACATACATGGTATCTTTTAATTCTTATCTGTGTTGGGGGGAGGGGGACACCTTACTGCCCCCAAGCATGTTAGGAGGCCATTTCTACTGCAAACACAAATCCCATCCCCCTCTCAGACTTAGTACACTGTCCCTTAGTTAGGACACAGGATGGATTATGGACATGATCTTCCAAAGCAGATAATGTCTTGGGTTAGAAACTAGTGAACAGAGAAGTTAAATATACTTACATGAAGAAGTATTTGCTCCTTCTGTTGACACTGATATTCTAATGGGAGACTCTATAAAACATAAAAGTGGAATGAGGGTTTACTGAGTCATGCCACGGGGCCTCTTAAAGTAGAAACTTTGCAGGCTTGGGTATCACCTGGAAAAAGAGTGCTTGAACACAGGGCCACAGAAAAGCTGAAGCATTTTTAAGTCAAAGGAAGGTATGGCAAAGGCAAAGATCACAAAGGACTATTTCTGTTATCTAGACCTGAAGACTTTTAGAGAAGAAGATGAAACCAAGTCTACCTGCACTCCAACTGCTATATTTGGAGAAATACTACTTTGAAAAGATCCATACTACAGGTGAGACAGGTTACTGTTTCTTGATTTTTAGAAATATAAAAGCAAAAAGAAGAAACCCCTATACTGAGAATGAAAGTTAACTTTCACGCATACCAAAAAAAAAAAAAAAAAAAAAAGAATATTTTCAGGCCACTTGGATCTGCATAAATACCCTGGCCCTGCTGAAAAAACTCCATGCAAGGTTCACCCGAGCAATCACATGAGGGTCACACAAGACATGCTAAGTCAACCGCACAGTAGTTGGGGACGCGTAGGAGCAAGAGTCTCTGAGGACAGAAAGACAAAGGCAGGGAAACCAGGGGGTAAGTACAGGCAGAGCATTAAACATCACTCATGCAGAAAAGAAGCAGGGGACTGATGGGTTTTCATTAGTAAGAAATAAGAGAAACTTGGTACCAAAGAGGGATGGAAATCCAAACCCAGAAAGCTATCCAGACTTAAGGCACAGTCGGGAGGTCACAGTCACAGTCAGTCTAAACCCCCCAGACAAGAATCATATGAATTTAAAAGCTCAGGTTCTCAATGACGTCTAAGGGAGGCAGATGATGAAGAACTTCGATTGCAGAAACTCCTGAAAGGCGAAGAAAGTCAGAATATCCAACTATTTTCTTTCTTTTTTTCTCTTCTTTTCCCTCCTTCCTTCCCATCTTTAAAATGAGGGGAAATGATGTCTTATTTCACAAAGCTGTTGTGCTTATCTAAGGAGATGTGGAGATCTTTGTGAATAAAAAGGCACCAGGCAAGACCAAGTTAACATCGTAGCTCTGAAATGAGCTTTCAATATCAAGCCCCCCATAATTTGCTTAAAAGAATGATATTTAAATATTCTAATGTTCTGTATAGAATTAGAGAAAAAGAAAAATTAAAAGTATACATATATATATATGTATATGAATCTACACAGTAGATTCATTAAATTCATAGCCAGTGGAGAAATCTATTATGGTGATAGTTGCCTTAGTAGAGTTGGGTTCCAAGTAGCCAATATTTGCCCAGACTAGAACTGCTATTAGCAAATATTTTAGGCAAGTGAAAAACCAGCCCAAAAAAAAAAATGCAACAGCAATTTTTAAAAGTCAGGCTATATATATATATGTTTTTAAGTTTAATGATCCACACCTGGTCTTTAGAAACCCAAAGGTTAGAGATTAGACACTGATACCTTATCCAAATGTACTCTGGTGACTTAAAAAAAACAAAGGCAGCTGAGAAAATCTCCTAGAAAGATCTAAACACTGAGCTTATAACCCAGATGTCTCCTTTTGCCAACTGTCTAATGTCACTCAGTCAGTTGTGCCTAGATGTAGATTTCTTTCTCTCGTGTGTGCTTCTCAAGCCCAGGTTCAGACACACCCCAAGAACCATCCTCCCTTAAGTAAAGGCTAACACGGCAGAACCAAGTTGAGAAAAGTTCTAAGACAGAAAACAAGAAACAGCTGAGATTTAGATGCAGCAAGGGCTCTGATTAGTAGGAGAAGCAGCCAGCAGCTACGTGTGTCATTCTGGTTAGTAAGATCCACCAGGCTTGTTTTCCTTACCTGAGGACACATACGGTCTTTCAGTTGAGGCTGGCATGCCAGTGATGATCTCTGCAAAAAAGAAAAGGTGATAGGACATTATGATGTATAATCACGAGGCTGGGAGCCGGTACCACAGCCTACCATCCAACTCTAAATGAGCAGGAAGGAAGGAAGTATTGCACGGGGGTGATGAAAGGCCGGGCGTTAGCCACACACGGAGTGAGAAGTGCTAAAAAGCACAGTCCAGATAAAACAGTTCTTCTTTCTTGGGCAAAGAGCATGAGATCAACCGTGCTGGAATAATTAGGAAGAATTCACTGTCCCCACTCAGGTCACCGAGGGAGCCACGAAGACAGAGGGAGAGTGAGCTCCTTAGAAAGAAAAGTAGAAATCAGGTCATGAAGGGGGTTAAAGCTGTAGCATCCAACACTGTAGTCAGAGTTTCTAAGTTACAGA